GAAGGGGGAGAAGGTGGGGAAGGGGGAGAAGGTGGGGACGGGGGAGAAGGTGGGGAAGGGGGATCCGGGGAGGTCATGGGCTGAAGCTGGAGTGTGAAGGGAGAACGAGGGAGGTCAATGAGGTGGGGAAAGAGGGGAGGGAGATGGGCCTAGGGGAGGGAGAAGAGGTGGGAAGGAGGAAGGGGAAGGGACAAGCGTGGCAGCGCACAAGATAGTGACTGACAGCAGTGCTGCCTTGACAAGAGCGGGCTAAGGCAAGTGGAGTGAGTGAGGCAGGGGTGTGGTGTGGGGTTAGCCGAATGGTGCAAGCGTCTTGCTTGCTGTGGCATGGCAGCTTGCGAGGAAGAGAAGGTACAGGAAATTGCACACGAATGGTTGGTTTGCAGATCATGAGATTTGTACACGGGACTGGCGCATACATGGCATCGGCATGGGCATGGGCATAGGCATGGGCACGGGCATGGGCATGGGCACAACAAGGCAACGTACCTCTTCTCTCTCAATGAACCCCGTGCACCGCAGGTCATAGAGACGGAAGGCAACTGGTGCATGCAGCATGCACAGGAGAGAGGAGGGGGGGGGGGGAAGACAGAGGGGAGGGTGAGGGGGTAGTAAGTGGGCGATTATTAGAGCAGAACACACATGAGAGGAGGACGAGGGGAGGGAACAAGGGGGAAGGGTAACGGGTGGGCGAGAATGAGAGCAGAGCATGCAACGGGTTGGGAATAGAGCAGAGAGAGCACTTGATTTTGTGCTGCTCTGTGTGTATGCTGCGCTGTGTGTGCATGCACGTGCGTGCCTGCAGAGCAGGTGTGTGGTTGCATTGCATGGGAGGATGCTGTGGTAGGACAGGATAGATGATTAGACTGTGGATGTATGTGGTATTAGACTGGTCCCAGCATTAACAAAACGTGGGGGTTCGGGGCTCAGTGGGAGGGAGGGACTGACAGGCGATTTTGTCGGGAGTGGGGGCACGGGGATGGAAGACGCTGAGCGAGCGCACAAACTCCCCAAACTCGATCACACCATTGCGCTTCACGTCGAATAAATCAAACACCTGCACCACGTGGGGGGGGAGGGGGGGGGGCGGGGAAGGGGGGAGGGATGTGCGCACGTACATGAATGCATGCAAGCATGAACCCATACATGAACCCATACATGAACGCATACATGACCCCATACATGAACCCATACACCCACTCAAACATACACCAAACACACACATGGGTAAAGCGCAAGGATAGCCTTCTTCAAGATGCTGCAGTGTGCTTTGCTTGATTTGATGCTCCATGTTCAGTATCCATTGATGTGCCAAACGTTTAATGTGCCCCAACCCCTCCTCCCCCCACCCCTTCAGCCTCAGGCCCCCCTCCATCTTATTCCAGACTTCCTTTCGTTTTTTTTCGTTCCAGTTTGCCTTTGCCATTCCGTTCACGCCCCGCGTTCTTGACTATCCTTTCCCAGAGCCACTGCTCAACCTGTCCGACTTTTGGCAAGCCTCAAAAGTGATCCAGGCTTAGCCCGCACCACAAGCATATCCCGGCGTTCTTAACTATCCTCCTCCCCACCCGGCACCACCACTCACCCTGTCAGCGAAAAGGTTCTCCCTCTCGCTGTTGTCGAACAGCGCTAGCTGAAACTCCTCCTGCCGTGCACAGACACCATGCATGCACCGCGTTTCATGTGCACGCATATGCATGGGGCAGACCATACACACATGCAGACCATACACACACATTGGGATGACATGAAGTGGCGGGGGACAAGGGAGGACGGGGGGCAGCGGCAGGAAAAAAGGGTAAAAGCCCTAGGCGGAGGGGCAAGGTTAACCGGATACTCGACGTAAGAGCATTGTGGGTGGACGGAAAAGCATTGTGGGTGGACAACGAAGACGGAATGACTCGAAATTGAGAGAGATTGAGAGAGGTTACCTTGTGAATGAGCCCGTCGTCGATGAGCGAGCTGCTTATCCGCTTGAACAGCTCGTACAGCGACTCCACCTCGCTCTCGCTAACTGCGCACGCACAAGAAGGGCGCGTGTCAGCACGTGTCGGCACGTGTGGGGGCATGCGGGCACGTTTGGGCACGTGAGGGCATGTGCGGACACTGTCCGCGCGCGTTGAAACATGGAAGCACGTGTGGCGAGTATGAGCAGACGATCTTTTTGAGCTCACAAGTTGGAGTGGAAGAAGTATAAAAAATAGGAGACAGAAGATGGAAGAGGGTGCGGAGAGAAGCGGCGCGGAGAGAAGAGGCGCGGAGAGAAGCGGCGCGGAGAGAAGAGGCGCAGAGAGAAGAGGCGCGGAGAGAAGCGGCGCGGAGAGAAGCGGCGCGGAGAGAAGCGGCGCGGGGAGAAGACGACGAGCAAGAAGAAGAAACAAGCGTCAACGACAAGAGGAAAAAAAAACAAAAACAAACAAACAAACAAACAAATGTAATGCAGCAGAACGCACACGCGGTCTCCCGAGCCAGCACGGCAGGGTCCTCGTATCCGGGAGGCGGCTTGGTGGGCACGGACTGGAAACACCCCATTAGCTCGCAGCACCCGGCGAACCACCCCACCGCATGCGGTGCCGTTATTCCCCACAGCACGCCGCGCGCCTGCCGCACTTCCCCTGCGCCGCCGCGCGCGCCGCTAGCAGAAGCGGTGCTCCGACCCGGAACTGTGACTGTACGCGAAGGTGACTGTGACGGTGCAGGAGAGGGTGTGACTGTGCTCGTGGCAGTGCGACAGTAGCTGGTACCGTGGCCGAGGCACCAGCAGGGGAAGCAGTGGCAGCTGCTGCTGCCGGCCTCCGATGCCACATGCGACCCGCGGAGCGACCGCCTTGCGCCCGGCTTACCCGCCACCGTGCCTCGGAATCGGATCGGATCGAATCGCGCACAGAACAGCGCACAGAACAGGAGCACTGACAGGCTAGGAGGGGGCTTTATGAGAGGTAGTATGACGTATGTGCGCGGGGTATGAACGCGCAAGGGTTCTCAGCACGAGTACGGGAGGTATATGAGCCGATCGTATATATCCGTTTCGTTCTATGGCAGCGAGATTCTAGGGCAGTCAATGGCGGCTGCGGTGGAAGTAGGTCTGGTTTAGACGACTACTGGCTAAGGAAAAGGACATTGCTTGAAGAATGACGCGATGGCCACATGAACTCACAACTCCACAACTTACTGCTCTTGGTGTCCTGCCACCAGAATCGAGGTCTGAGAACCGACGTAACAAAACGAGTGCTAGGCTTCTAAAAACACTCACCGAGAGCAACGAGAAACAAGAACTCTCGTTTTCTACTTTGCCTCCGAATGTTCCACTCTAGAAGTTGCCGATTTTCCGCGGGATGAAGAGAGGGGAACCTCGGTCTGGCTCGGTGCGAGCACACATGATGTACCTCTGAAATGGGACCCCAAACGGACCATGCAGAAAAGGAGTGGCGTGCGAGTATTTCGGAAAGATCAATGCAACCTAACTGAGAATCTGCCCACAAATTTCACAATTTCTGAAGCCCACCAATCAGTGCGAAGCGAGCTCCATAACACACCAAAACGTCAATTGAAAGGCTGTCGTGCCATGCTGTTACGAGATGGCCAATGAGGTGTTAGTTTTTGGAGAAGCCGACAATTCTGTGGAACAGTTCAGCAAACCCTGGAATCTACCCGTTGCAAGTGCAGATTCCCAGAAATTGCACCTTTCGCTGCTTTCAAGTTGATTCGGAAAGCGTTCCAAGTGGCTGTTCATTAGCTGCTTTTTAAGTTGATCCAAGAAACAAATAACGTTCTTATGTTACAAGTTACAGCTGCTTCCATGACTTCACTTCACAGTCACGAAATCGGGATTCTCAAGGACTGCCTGGTTTTTGAATTCCAGCAGAGACACCCTTGCACTAGCACCACTCTCGATGCCTCTCCGCTAACTCCAAGGGACCTGACTTTCTTCCGTCGCCTCCAGTTTCTTCCTTCTTCGGAGTCTGCTGATTTGCAATGAACATTCTCGGGGATGTTTGGAAGGAATCTCACCTTCGGACGTGTACCATCGTTGACAATGGGCTTCTAGGGAGCACCGAGCTCAGATGGCCAACTAGTCGATTCCATGCCTTCCACTACCATAATTCCGCCTATCCATGGCGAATCTCCCTCCAGAGGTGCACGTGCGTAGCATCCGCACAGATAAGCACCACGAGTCGCTCCATACGCACTTACAATTCGAAGTTGGCAGCTCCTCGGCACCAGGTTCTCCAGCATCATATTCCGCGTCGCACGCTGGTACTAGTGGTAATACCGGCGCGTCCGCGTCGCCCCATGGAAGGAGACCGTCTTCGTCTGGTTCCCGACACAGAGCGGGAAAGCGACATTCGCTGCTTCTAGCACGCACTGCCAGTCATGCGGCCTCGAGGGGATCCCCTGCACGCTCTCCCGCATCTACTTCTACCAGCAATGCGATGGCTTCCCGTGCTGCGCGATCAGGCTCCGGACGCCAGTCCTCGTCCGTCCGATCGTCCACGTCATCCTCCCGTCTGAACCACGGAAATAGAAGCCTTACGCGAGGTTCTAGCAACCCGGCGTCGTTAGCGTCGTCCACTTCTGCAGCAGATGCTGCGGCGTCGGGAACCTCTGCAGATCCAGCCGCGTCGGATCCGAACGAATTTCTTGATTTTGGTTCAGAATCGGCAGCTGCGAAGGCTCCAGAATTTCCATCTCTCACCGATGCTTCAGCTTCTTGTCACAATGCCTTGAATTCCGAGGGGAATTTCCAGCATAGCGGTTCCGCGACAGCAGATGGGGAAGGCGCAGGGGAGAGCCGCTTGGACGGTGGGGAGAGGGAGGGTGAAGGTACGCAGAACCTCGAATCCAGAAGCCTTTCCCCTGTGCTTCCCAGCCCGCTCGCGGCCGCTCCTGCCGTTCTGAACCATGCTCATGGTAGTGCCAGCCAAGGTGCTCTCACCGCCGGAATCGACGCCTTTACTGCTGATTTTTATGCGAAGAGTGGTGAAGGCGTACCAGATGCCATGGAGGATTTCGAAGAACGCAGCAGCAACAGCCAGGCTCTTCGAGTCTCTGGTTTACCATTGCCTCCTCCTGCTCGTGTCTCTCCTGCACGCGTCTCTCCTGCGAGGCTTCCCCTGGCGTCATCTCTTTCAGCGCCTCCGCGCTCCCTTGCCTTATACGGAGGACGAAGTGTACCACCCGGGGCAAGTGACGCTGGAAGCTCCGTTCAAAAGCCTGCTTCGTTACAAGCAGCATCAGTCTCGTTGCATGCGCGGCCGGTATCGAGCCGGAGCCTGCCATCCGGGGCTGTTATCGACGTGGAGGGGGGTGCAGCTGCGGAGGAGGGTGGGGCAGAGAGGATATTCGTGGCAGTGCGAGTGAGGCCGTTGAGTGGGCGGGAGGTGGCAGCAGGCGAGGAGAGTGTGTGGCAGGTGCTCGATGCGTGCTCTATCCGCTCTGTGCTCCCTTCCACTGCGCCTGCTCCGTTGCAAGGAGACCGCTCAGCGCCTGCTCAGACTTACCACTTCGGTACCGCCTCTTTTGCCACAGAGCTGCGAATTATGCAATGCGCCGGGCATGCATGCTACCCTTCCGTTTTGATTCAGTAGGGATCTCCTGCAGTGCTCCACAGCCTTTCCGGCCTTTCTATCTTGTTCTGAATGGAAGTAGTTCCCCTCGATATTCACTGCCATCTATTGTAGTTCGTTTTCTGACGTCCTTCAACTCGCTTTATGTTCTCTCCCATCACATCCACATCTTCACACGACCCTGATCTGATCCCATCCTCAGAATCACCATGCCTTATCACTTCACCTTTCTGTCAGCATCATTTTCTTCCCATGTCCGGGTTCCCTCCCCTGTCACTACATACATTTTCCCCGTCATCTTTATGTCAGCATCCTCTGCGTTTCCTGTGCGTGTGCATGCAGATAGGGTATTCGATGAGCAGGCGTCGTCCCTTGCAGTGTACCAGCACGCAGCCAGACACGTGGTGCTCTCCGTGCTGCAAGGAGTCAACGGTTCGTCCCTTTATCTGCCCCTTCACCTGCCCTTTCACCTGAACTTTTCACCTACCCCTTCACCTCTCTCTTCACCTTCACGTTCCCCCATCCCTTCACCTTCCCTCTTCCATCACTGCTCTCCTTGTTCCGGCTCTTCTTTTTAGCACCTCCCTCCGACTGCTCTAGCCCCCTCATCCTTTTCGACCCAGTCCCTCCTCTCCCATCAGTTCCACTCACAAACCACCTGTCAACATCGTGAGGCAATCCCCTATGAGAGCTATCCCCGGGCTTCTTTCTCTTGCAATCTGTGTGGTTACCCTGTCCTTGCATTTCATTCCTCCTACTATCACACCTCCCTTCCCTTTCTTGTGGCTGGTTGGTACCCTGCCTGGCCTTCCCTGCCCTCTCCCGCGTCACCAGGCACCATTTTCGCATATGGCATGACAGGGAGTGGCAAGACGTACACCATGGCCGCAGTAACGGAGATGGCTATACAGGAGATATTCGAGCACATAGCCAAGGTGGGCCTGGGAAGAGAGAACACGTTTACTCGCACTTGCCACGATAAAGGGAGGGTGTGAATGGATTGGATGCAGTACTCCCAACCGTTCCTAACCAGGACTGAATGGTGAGCATGAATGTTGTGGTGCTCCTAACCTAAGTCTCTGCAAAGATCCACTAGCATTGCATGTCTAGACCAGCAGCAGCAGCAGCAGCAGCAGCAGCAGCAGCAGCCAGTCTGCCTCGGTCCTTCTCCCTTCCCGTTTTCCGTCTCTCCCGTCCCTTCCTTTTCCATTCCAGCATGGCGGCGAGCATGAGTATTCCCTGCAACTAGAACCTATGCAGATCCGCAACGAGCAAGTCCGGGACCTGCTGGGCTTTGAGGCGTTTCAAAACTCTCCCTCTGCCCCCTCCCTCCACCCCACCTTCCCCCCACTCCAGCACGGTGGCGAGCGGGAGTACTCCCTGCAGCTAGCAGCCATGGAGATTTACAACGAGCAAGTGCGGGACCTGCGAGGTTTGAGACGTCTCAAAACTCTCCCCCTTCCCCTTCCCCCCACTCCAGCTCGGCAGCGAGCGAGAGTACTCCCTGCAGCTGGCAGCCATGGAGATCTACAACGAGCAAGTGCGGGACCTGCTGGCTGCACCAGGGGACAGCGCCCCGCTCAGAGTGCTGGATGGCGCAGAGGTGGGAGGAGAGGGGAATAGGGCGGAAGGAGAGGGGGAAGTTGGGGAAGTTGGGGAAGTGAGGTCGTGCAATGGCAAGAAGGGATGGGTGATTTTTGAGACGCCTCAACGCAGTGAGCAGGTCAGGGACTGGCTGGGAGGGGGTGACGTGGTGCGAGGAAAAGAGGTGACAGGTGAGAGGGAGAGGGATGGGTGGGAGAGAAGGAGCAAGGGGAGCAAGGAGGGCAGAAGGGGCGGGTGTGGTGTTGCCTGCGTGGCCTCTCTGTCTCCCTGCTCATGGTGTGCGTTCCCACTGCACGTGCTTGCATGGTTCCTGAATTGCTGTAGGTTCATGTGCTGCTGCTGCAGTGCTGCCCCAGTGACGGCACGCATGGGGAGAATCAATATGGCATGATCGTGAATCACTTACTCATGATTCGTGTGTGTGTGTGTGTGTGTGTGTGTGTGTGTGTGTGTGTGTGTGTGTGTGTGTGTGTGTGTGTGTGTGTGTGTGTGTGTGTGTGTGTGCTACATGTGCATGCGTGCATGCACGTGTGTGAGCACATGTGGGTGCGCATGTATGTGTGTGCGTGCGTGTGTGCATCCATGCATGCGTGCGTGTGTGTATGAGTGCGTGCATGCATGGCGCCTATCCCCCATACAGGGCGGCACTCTAGTGGAGAGCCTGTCACGCCATGACGTGCGCTCGCCAGCGCACCTGCTGCTGCTGCTGGAGCAGTGCACAGGTGAGTGTGAGAGGTGGGAGTGTGAGAGAGAGTAGTGTGTGAGGGGCAAGTGTGTGATGGGGGAGTGTGAGAGGGGCGAGTGCGAGAGGTGGGAGTGTGTGGGTGGAGCATGGAAGTGTGGGACCGCTCTTTTCCGAGGTGACTTTTGAGTCGATTCAAAAGTCACCTCGTGGGAGAGCCGCTCTTTTCCTCCACTTCCAGTCCGTCCCACCTTTCTCACTTCCTCCACTCCACCTTCGCCCCCCCCACCCCCTCCCAATCCCATCCACCCTCTCCCACCCATCTCCCATCCGCACCTGGTCTCTCCCCCACATCCCTCATCTCATCCCTCCCCCCCTTCCCGCGCATGGCAGCCCAGCGCACAGTGGGGGAGACGCAGATGAACGAGGCTAGCTCACGCTCGCACCTCATCGTGCAACTGGTGAGGCAAAGCAAACACTAGAGTGGGAGGGTGAGGGTGAGGGTGGCGTTGGAGGCGGGGGTGTGAGGGTGAGGGTGAGGGTGGGGGTGGAGGCAGAGGTGTCGCACATCGTGTTCTTACTGCATGCAATGCTAGAAGGCCTATCACAATTGCACACAATGCCAAGTCTTCAAATATTCCCTCTTCTCACTCGCTCCCATCCCGTTTCCCTCTCTCCATTACTCCCCTGTCACTCTGTACCCGACCACTCTGTGCCCCGCGTGCGTACAGACTGTGCAGAGCGTGCCCACAGCAGCATCCTTTTGAGGTGCCTCATTACTGATTCCCCTCTCTCCATTACTCCCCTGTCACTCTGCACGCCACCACTCTGTGCCCCACGTGCCTGCAGACCGTGCAGAGCGAGCCCACAGCAGCATCTGCCTCTCTGCACCTCTCCACCTCCTCTCTCTCCGCTGATCCCGCACCTGCCTCCACTGCTTCTGCTGCATCCACTACTCCTGCTGATGTTACAAGCGCTCACCCCACCGAGCCAAGGCTCACAGAGGCAGCAGAAAATGGCCCCACGAGTGTCTCCGCCTCCTTCTCCTCCTCCTTTTCCCCCTCTGTCGCCTCCTCCTTCGCCTCCTCCTCCGTGCTCTCCTCCTCATCCCTCGCCCTCTCCGTATCCTCCGCCTCTGCACCCCTTGCTTCATCCGTGCCTGGCCTTGCCTCCCTGCCGGCGCCTGTCCTACGTGCCACTCTGGTAAACAATCTCATCAGTATATTTTCACCAGAATGTCACCAATACATCACCAATATTCATCAACCTCGCACACCCGTTGTGCCCATGTGCCTTCCCCTCTACCTTAACTTTCCATCCGTCCGTCCCCTTTTTTTTTGCGTCACATTGATTCCAATGTGCCGCATGCTGCACGTTGATTGCTGCTGCCTGCCTTCCTTCCTTTCTACCTCCGCCCCTTCCTTCACTACCTTTCCTTCTCCTTCCTTGCACTCTCTCCCCTCTCCTCCCACTGTCTCCTCGCAACGAATGGCGAAGCTGGTGCCTCTTTCAGAATCTGGTGTATCTGGCAAGCAGTGAGAGGGCGGGGCAGGTGAGTTTCGAGTCGACTCAAAACTCGGCGCAAAAATCGACTAAAATATCCCCCCTTTTCCTGTCCACGCGCCTCCCACAGAATCTTGTGGATCTGGCGGACAGTGAGAGGGCAGGGCAGATGCAGTTTTTGACGCGCCTCAGAAGCTCTCTCCTCTCCTCCCCCCCCTCTCCTCCCCATGCGCCTCTCTCAGAATCTGGTGGACCTAGCGGGCAGTGAGAGGGCAGGGCAGATGCAGTCAGAGGGGCAGCGGCTGAGGGAGGGAGCACACATCAACCGCAGTCTGCTCACTCTCAGCACCGTCATCCACAAGCTCAGGTGGGTTCTACAGTCGACTCAAATGCCAAGAACTGCACCCTGGTCGCTCTCAGCACAGCACCGTCATCCACAAGCTCAGGTGGGCACGCACGCGCACGTGTCTATGACTGCGGCACTTCAGAAATAGTCTCACTTTTGAGGTGCATCAACCACAGTGTGCTCACTCTCAGCACCGTCATCCACAAGCTCAGGTGAGCACGCATACGAGTCTACTTTATGGGTGGCAGGAATAATATGGGTCCCCTATCGACTCTTCCCAGTTGCTCTCTCCGAACAAGGAGTATATATTCACATAAACCACACCACCACTTGTAACTCACAACCCCTCCCCCCCCCCCCCCTCCCAATCCCGCCCCCCCTTCTTCTCTCACCCTTACCCATTTGCCTCGTCCCCCCAGCGCACCCGCCTCCTCCCTCTCCTCCTCCTCCTCCACCCCACCCCCCCTCTCCTCTTCTTCCTCCTCCTCCTCGTCCCCCTCCCGCGCCCCCCACATCCCCTACCGGGACTCCAAGCTCACGCGCATCCTGCAGAGCGCGCTGGGGGGAAACGGCCGCACGGCAGTGCTGTGCACTGTGAGCGCTGCAGCGTGCCACGCTGAGCACACGCGCAACACCCTCGCGTTTGCTGCGCGTGCTAAGCAGGTCTCCACCACAGCCAAAGTGAATACGGTTAGTGACGGGGGAAAGTGGGTGGCCGCGCAAGTGGGGGTTGGGATGGGGTGGGGTGGGGTGAGGTGGGATGGAAGTGTTGAATCGACTCGCAAGTCACTTTGCTGCGCGCGCCAAGCAGGTCTCCACCACAGCCAAAGTGAACACGGTCAGTGACGGGACTGGGCTTCAGGTCTAGGCGCGTCTCTTGTCCAGGCACTCTGGACAAGCAGGTATCCACCACCACCACCACGGCCAAAGACAACACGGTCAGTCAGTGATGGGAAGAGTGTCGCTTCTCAGGCCAAGCATGTATCCGTCCATTCGCATTCAGTCAGGCAGGCGAACGGCTCACCAGAGTTTGTTTGCACGCGTGTGTGCGGGTGTGTGTTGTGTGCGTGTGTGAGTGCGTGCGTGTGCATTCTTGCGTGCATGCATGTGCATGCATGTGCATGCATGGGTGTGCATGCGTGCGTGCGTGTGTGTGTGTGTGTGTGTGTGTGTGTGCATGTGTGTGCATGCATGTGTGTTGTCCATGTGTGCATGCATGTGTATGCGTATGTGCGAGCGTGCATGCATTCGTGTGTGCATGAACTCTGAGCAGGTGGAGTCGGGTCAAGAGAAGGTGATTCGGCAGCTGCAGCAGCAGGTCAAGCTGCTGGAGGGCAAACTCAAGGGCGTGGAAGAGGAGAGACACAAGCAGCAACAGGAACAGCAGCAGCAGCAGCAGCAGCAGCAGCAGCAGCAGCAGGCATTGAGGGAGGAGGCAGGCGAGAGAAGGAGGAGCAGTGAGGGTGTATCAGCAGCAGCAGCGAGGCAGCTGATACTGGAGTACGAGGAAGCAATGGGTCAGCTAGAGGCAGAGAAGGACGAGGTCAGTGGGATGCGGGCATGGCAATCGTTAACGCCCTCAACAATTGCACCACACCTGGATGCTTCTGCAATCACGCACCCACACCACACACACACACCCATGCTTCCCCAATCACGCACTTTTTAGCAGTCCTAGGTCCATGTATCTCCCATCTGATCTGGGAATACAGTGTCCCTACATCAACACGTCGCTGGGCTGCTCTTGCTTTCTCTATTTCTCTTTCCCTGATCCCCCTCATTCTCCCCGGCCCCTTGCCACCTCCTCCCCTCTCCCCTCCCCCTCAGCTGTTCGCGCATGTCTGCCAGGTTAATCCCATCCCCTTTTGAGAGAACCGTTAGAGGGACAAGCCTCGGTCTCGGTTTTTTTAAATACAAGACACCCTACTTCCCGTATTCCCCTTTTTTTAACCCCAAATCCCTTCCCCTTCAGCTGTACGCGCATCTGTCACGTGCTCTCTCCCAGAGGGACGAGGCGCGGTGCATGGTGGCAGCGCAGCAGAGGGAGGTGCGGGCCATGCGGGAGCACCTGGTGCTGCTGCACTGGCAGCTGGACGAGGGTCAGGGGAGCGAGGAGAGCGAGCAGAGTGAGGGGGGCGAGGGGAGTGACGGGGGCAAGAGGAATTTGGTGGAGGGGGGTGGTGGAGAGGATGGTGCGGTGAGGAGTGGTTTGGAAGGAGGGAGTGGTGTGGAGAGAGCAGCAGGGCGAGAGGGGGTTGGTGAGGAGGAGGGCGGGAGACAGGGGAACGAAGGGGCTTTAAGAGGAATTGATAGGGAAGCAACAGCAAGCCCTGTGGTTAGCTGTGTTGCATCTCGAGCAGGCAACAGCAGTGGGAGGTTCAGCAGCAGCAGCAGAATGAGCAGAAGAAGCAGGAGCGGGAGGAGCGTGAGTCAGTCAAGGAGGACGAGTCTTGTGTCTGGTGTCAGCCCTCCCAGTGCCACCCACAGTCTCTTCCGAAGTAGTTTCTCGTTTACTGATCCTGATGGCACTCTGCTGTCCCAGCAGCAGCAGCAGCAGCAGCAGCAGCAGGAAGAGCAAGAGCACCTGGAGACTGATGAGTACAGGAATATTGGTTCCTCCCCCAGCCGCGGGCGCAGGAGTAATGCTGTTGTCGCTGCTGACGCTGCCCATGCTGCTGACGCTGCCCATGCTGCTGACGCTGCCCATGCTGCTGACGGTGCTGGCTCTGTTTCCACTCGACGGTATGTATGATGTTTACAGTTTTTATTTGTTCATTCACGGATTGTCTGGTTGTTGGCTTGCTGCCACATCGCATCGCATCGCATCGCATCCCATCACATCACATCCCAGCATCTTCCATCCCATTCTCATCTATACCCCTTCGCACTGCGTGTATGCTTCTTTTGAACACTTAACCCACCCGTAACCCTTTCCCTTCTCCTCGTTACCCCCACCCTCTCTGCCGTTATAACCATCTCTGTGACCAGCAGCTAAACCTTACCCAATCCGTACCCTCTAACCCCGCCCACCCTCTCCTCCCGCGCTCTTGTGAGCAGCAGCGACTATGCAACGCAAGCGTGGGTGCAGCAGCTGCAGCGGCTGGCAGTGATGGGCGAGAGGATGGGGCAGCAGGACGCACACAGGGCCCTGCTCGCGCTGCAAGCAGAGATCCACTCGCTCTGGCTCTCCGCCTCTTCTTCCCTCTCTGCGTCGGCTTCCCTCTCTGCCTCTGCTTCTCTTCGAACCTCCGCTGCTGCTGCTGCTGCTGTTGCTGCTGATAATTCTAGTGTTGGTGCTGTTGGTGCTGTTGGTGCTGTCAGCGCTGCTGCTGGTGGTGCTGCTACTTTCCCTTCTGAGGCACCGCGGATCTCTGCTGCGTCGTGTGCTGTGGTGGAGGGTGCAGCGCGTAACAGTGGTTGTGCCACTGCTGCCACAGACGCACTGTGCTACAGGTATCCGAACAGTGCTAGCGGCAGCAGTAGCCCTCTCTTCAGCCACGCAGCTGCCGCGCTGCCACTGCCACCGCCACCACCGCCCGTCCTCTTCCTTGGACCGCCAGAAGCAGCAGCAGTATCCGCAGGAGGGATGGTGGAAGAAGCAAGAGAGGCAGCAGAGGCTGCACGGGTAGCAGAAGCAGCATCAGCATCAGCTGCAGCAGCTGAGACTCGTATCAGCCTGTCGAACGCACAGGGAGAAGCACAAGTTGTGGCTGAAAGGGAGCAGGGGGAGGAGGGAGAGAGGGAGCAGGGTGAGAAGGGCGAGGAGGAGGAAGAGGAGGAGCAAGGGCAGGGGCAGGGTGAGGAGCATGAGGAGGAGGAGGAGGACCCATGTGCGGCTATCCCTCAGCTGGAGCGGCAGCTGCAGCGAATGGAGCTGTCTGTACGAGGCATGCTGGCTGTCGCTGCTGCAGCTGCGGCTGCTCCTGCTCCTGCTGCTGCTGTTCAGACGGGCAGTGGTGATTTCGGTGCGCCTGCTCGGTCAAGTGCTCATGGTTTGCTGAATCCTGATGCTGCTGCTACGCTTGCTGCTGCTGCAGCTGCACCTGCAGGTGCTGATGATGACTCGTCCAACCCTGGTTGGAATCATACTGCTACTGCTGCTGCAGCATACAGAACATTAGCACACACGGCCGCTCCCTTGGTGCATGGTGGCGTGGCAGTGGCTGATGGTATGGCTGATGGCATGGCTACTGGGTTGGCTGCAAACGTGGCGGATGGTTTAACAACAACGGCTGAAGCTCCTGCCTTTGCTTTTGGCAGCGCTGCCATTGCAGATACCGCGGTTGGTAGGAATGCTGCATCTCCCCGCCACTCCCTCCCCTCCACCTCGTCCTTCTCCCCCTGTGTCTCCCTCACGGCCTCCTCCTCCTTCTCCCTCGCCCTCGCCCTCGCTTCACCTGCTCAGTTCTCTCCCAGGGTCGTTGGGAGTATGGAGGCGCCTCAAAAGTCCCTCTCCGGCTCATCTCCCTTCCCTTTCGCTCTAGATCCACCAGCCAGGTTTTCTCTCGGGGGAGTTGGGAGTGAGGGGAGAGGGAGGGAGAGCGGGGATGGTGGCGGTGGTGAATGTGGTGATGGTTTGATGCGTGGTGTGGGAAGGGACGTGGAGAGGCATGGGGAGGACGGGATGGGAGAGAGTAGGGTGGGTGGATGGCAGGGTCGGGAGACAAGGACGGGAGGCGGCGAAGAGGACGGAGAGGAGGAGATGGGAGAGAAGGGAGGGGAGGGAGAGGCGGGGGAGAGGGAGTGGGAGGATGGAGGGGGTGAGGAGAGGCATGCAGCTGGGGATGGGCGTGTACGTGAGTGGGAGGGGGGAGAGGAGCAGAGAACAATGGTAAGGGTGGATGGAGTGGAGGAAGAGGAGGAGGAGAATGGGGAAGACAAGGAGAGTACGGGACAGTCTGTTAAGGAGAAGGAGAGGCGAGGAGGAGGGGAGGTAACAGCGACAGCAGCATTTGCAGCAGCCGCACCAGCAGGGGAGCAGGAGCATGAGCAATGGGAAGTGTGCGGAGCACTGGGGAGCAGCAGCAGCAGCATCTGCAGCGACAGCAGGGGCAGTATGCAGCGGGTGATGCAAGCAGCGATGGATCGCAACATGGCAGCCATACGAGTGTATGTGGGCGAGCTCAAGGAGCGAGTGGCCAAGCTGCACTTCCAGAAGCAGCTGCTGCTCTGCCAGGTGCGGAGGAAGGGGGGGAGGAGGGTTGTGCTGTGGCAGGTGCAAGGGGGTGTTGTGTTGCTGTGGTACGTGGCAGGGGGGGATTGTGGGGCACGTGAGCATGTGGTAACATCAAACCCGCAACCCTGTGTTGCTGTGGTACGTGAGCACGTGAGCATAAAGCTAAGAGCGATGAGTATCCTCTGTGAGCCACTGGGCATCCGGACCATCCCTTCCTGCTACCTTTCCTTCCTTTTGTCGCTCTCCCCTCCTCTCCTCTCTTCCCTTACCTACCGTGGCCTCTCGTCTCGGTCCTCTCCAGGATCCTCTCCTCTCCTCTCGCGTCTTCACCGCTTCCCTCCCCTTCCCACGCCTCCCCTCCCCTCTTTTATCCTTTCCCACCTCAATCACAGGTGCTCGAGGTGGAGGCAGCGAAGGAGGGCCGGTGCTGCTGCAGAAGGGTGTTTCTTACAATTCTAAATGCACCCGTCCCCTCCTGTCCAACACTCCCCACCTCAATCGCAGGTGCTCGAGGTGGAGGCAGCGAAGGAGGTCTGGTGCTGCTACTGCTGCTGCTGCAAGCTGTTTTGTGTTTTCTTTTAGATCAAACTCCTCTCCTGTCCAACTCCCCACCTCTATATCGCAGGTGCTCGAGCTAGAGGCAGAGAAGGAGGGTCGGCTGCTGCTGCAGCAGGGTGTTTTTTCATAAATATAAGAACACCCTTCCCGTCCAACTCTCAACTCCCCACCCCAATCATAGGTGCTCGAGCTAGAGGCAGAGAAGGAGGGGCGGCTGCTGCTACAGCAGGCGGACAGGGGAGGGAAGGTGGGCGGGCAGTGGGGCCACGAGAGGCACAGCAGACAGAGAATGACGTGGCAGGGGGAGAAGTGGCGCGCAGTGCACGAGGGGATGGGCGTGGGGATGGGCGTGTGGGGAGTGCGTTCAGGGGCAGGCATGGCACGTGAGTCTGACGTGGCATTGGGGAGAGTGGGGCTTGAGAAGATAGAGGAGGGGCGGAGTGGGAGGGAGGGGGCGGAGGGAGGGATGTGGAGAGGGGATGATGGTAAAGACTGGCCTGGTAATGCTGCTGCTGATGATGCTGCTGCTGACGCTGCTGCTGCTGGTGTTGATTCTGCTGCTGGTGTTGATGCTCTTTCTGGTGTTGATACCGCTGCTACTGTTGATGCTGCTGCTGATGCTGAGGATGGTGGTCCGGGTGGAGAAGGGTTTTGGTACATGAACGTGAATGTGAGGGAGTGTGGGCACGGTGTGGGGCATGTGGAGAGGGGGCAGCATGATTGCACAGAAGAGACAGAAGTAGGAGGAGAGGGAGGGGGGGGCACTGTGGAGAGTAGGGAGGGGAGCAGCAAGCAGGGGCGTGCAAGTGGGGAAGGGCGGCAGGAAAGCGCAAGCAGAGTGGCAGGCGGAGAGGCATGTGTTGTAAACAACACAGGTGTTGCAGTAGCACCGGCACCAATGGAGGCTGCAGCAGCACCACCAGCTGCATCAGCAGCATCAGCAGCAGATGCAGAGGAGGTGGCAGCAGCCGCAGTGCCGGCAGAGTGTTTGCTTGCAGACATAGTGACCATGTGGCATGCATGCCATGTGCCCCTGCTGAGGCGCTCCCAGGTGCTTCTAGCTGTTATGGGAAGCTGCATGGAAGGCGGTGCGATGGGTGGTGCGATGGGCGGTGTGCTGGGTGGTGATGATGACGATCTGAATGATGCTGCTGGCAACAGGAATGTGAATGTTCGGGACATGAGGCGTGGAGGAGAAGGGGTGCGGGCAATCAGGGAGAGGAGGGCGAGTGGGGGAAGTGGTGCGAGTGGTGTGAGTAGGATGCATGTGGAGGTGGAGTGGCGGCACATGCGATGGCTGCAGGGGCAGCTGCATCTGCCCTGCAATGCGGGGTGGCTCAGGTATGTGGGAAAGAGATCACGGGTGAGAGGTACAGTGGGTTTTGAGACGTTGCGACACTTTGTGAGGTTCCTGCCTGCCATCCCTCCTCCTTGAACCGTTTTTTTCTCTTGCTCAAACCCTCTCTTTCCAGTCTGTCGTCAAGCAATGTTCTTCCTCTCTCCTCTATCTTCCTAAGCACCTGCCTGTATCCTTTCTTAGTACTCCCTAAAACACCCCACTCCAACTCTCTTCCCTCCTCTCCCCCTCACTCCCTTCCGCTCCCGCAACTGCTCCCGTCCCACTCTCCCATCAGCCGGCGGCAGCAGCAGGTGCAGCAGGAGCGGGCAGCCATAGCCAGGCAGATGAAGCGCCACCTATCCCCCGCACACCGCCTCTCCCTCTTCCTCCTCTGGGGAATCGACCCTGCCTCTCGCCACCGCTGCTCCCAGCTCGCCCTTTCCATCTGGCCTCCCCCTCCGCCTCTGTCTTCCCCTCCCCCTCTTTCTTCCTGTCCATCTCCTCCTCTTCCTCCTCTTCCTCCTCCTCCTCCCCCTCCGCTTATCCCCGCACCAGCCTCTGCTGCACCTGCAGCAACCCCCAACCCAGCCGCATCACCTGCATCTGCTGCTGTGACTGAGACTGGGGCCACAATGACGGTGGCCCGTGTGTGCATTCACACGGCACACGCCAGTGCACGCGTGGTGGCAGCACCTCTCTTCCACCCTCCCACACCGTCACCTCCTCTGCCCTTCCTGCCTGCTACCGCTGCTCATGCACAAGCCCTTGTTCCTGCTGCGGTTCCTAGCTCGGTCACCACCTCTCTTGCAGCAGACGCTGATCGCAGTGCGAGCGGCAACAGCAGCAGCAGCAGCAGGAGAAGGCGTGGTGGTGCTGCCAGTGGGAGCAGCAGCACAGGGCATGAAGACGAACCATCGGCACAGGGTTTCGTACCAGCGGGCTTGATTCATACTCATATGCATATTCATGGGCCTAGGGTTGTTCCTAGCAGTGGCAGTCAAGGTGCGTGCCTGGGAGTGCTCCTGGGGCCGCTGAGGCTGCTAGGGCTGCTTTGACTGAGGGGGCTGATGGAGTTGATACGACAGCATGCTACAAAACAATAGCTCGCCATTTTTCTCTTTAATTTTCAAATGCATTTCTCGCCGTCGTTCTCGATTTCCGTTTTTGTTTCTCTTTCCCCTTCTCTTATTCGCTTCCTCCTCCCCTTGTTTCTCTTCCTCCTCCATCCCAACCACCCACTTTTTCACACTACCATCTATGTGAGGCTGGGAGAGGAAAAGAGTTTTTTATTACTACCTTGTTCCTTTTTTCCATCGCCCTCCTCTCCCCTCCTCTCCATTGCCCCGCCTCCCCTTCTCCGTGCCAGCAGTCTCGGTGGAGCTAAGGCTGGTAGAGGAGAGGGGCTTTTTCGAGCTTTCCCTTCCTGCTTGCTCACTCCACCCTCCCGCTTCTCCTTTCGCCCTCTCTCCTCCCCCCTTCTCTCCTCTCCCGCCCTCTCGTGTGCCCTCCATTCCTATGCCCCTCTCTCTCTCCTCCCCCCCCCCTCCTCCTCTCCCCTCCCTCTTCCCCTCCCCTCCCCTCCTCCCCCTCTCAGTGCGAGCAGAGGCACTAGAACTGAGGCTAGTGAAAGTAAGGGGTTCTTTTGTTCAACTGACTTCCTCCTTCTTTCCTGTTTCCCCATCCCCCACCTCTCCCCTTCCCCTCCTCTCTCCCTCTCCTATCAGTGCCAGCAGAGGCGCTAGAGCTGAGACTGGTGGAGGGAGGGCGACAGGGGCATTGGGGAGGCGCAGTTGAGATGGGAAGCAGGGGCAAGGGCAGGGGGGGAGTGGCGGGGTGGAGGTGGTGGCTGGGGAAGGCCGCTTCTGTGAGGCCTGACCCTGAGGGGGGGTGAGGGGGAAAGTAAGAGGGAAAGGGCGAGAGGGGAGGGGAGGCTGGGGGAGAAGGGAGGAGAGACAAGGGAGAAGGGATGAGGAGGGAGAAGGTTGGGGAAGGGGTGCGGTGAGGCTAGGGTGGTCCCTGTGATTGTGAGTGCGTAGCTGTTACTGAGGTGGCAATAAAGTGCTTTACTGCGTAAGTAATCATAAGCCTTCGTTGCAGCGGCTGGAAATCCGCGGAGTTCCTTTTGATACGTAGACAACCAGGCAACTGCGGTGGCATATGAGTGGGATGGGATGGGACAGGATGGAATGGCATGGGTTGGAAGGGAAGGGGATGGGATTGGATGGAAGGACCCTGCAAGAATAAGCAGCTGTTGGCTGGCTGGATTGGAGATGCCAGTGGGGATTATTTCATGTACATGCGGAGGTGGTTGGGGTGGGTGCTGAAGGATTACCGAATCTAGTGAAGCCGGAGCTGGAGGGTCGGATGTAGAGAGCCTGTTGCAGAGGCTGGTTCTGGTGGTATTTCAGTCCAGTTGTCAAGTGTGCGCAATCATTGCTTCATTCTCTGTAGTCAGGAGGGGGTTCACTATATTATCTGCTTTGTACATCTTACTCAGTAATACAGATGTGGCATATTGGCAAATCTACTGCTAAGCTAGTATGAGAACTGTCTACAGTATATCCCCATTATAAGCATGATATTTACCATGTTCCAAAACTCTCATAAACAGTTACCGGAACTATACCACCAGAAACGTTTACTTACCGCAGCCCCTGGGGCAATAACTGTAGATGGACGCTGCACTAGCCGCTGCCGCTGACGCTACTGAATGTCGCTAATCCTGTTGGCCCTGCTGCTGCAGCTGTCTCAGCTGCTCCTGGCATGCCTCCATCCACGCATTTACCTTGTCCATGGCTTGCTGTAGCTCCTCCAATGCCCTCTGCCTGTGCATCTCCCTCTCCCTCTCCTCTACTGCTTCCCCCTCCCGCAACTCTTCCCCACCACAAGCTAATACTCCATCCACCTTCTTTGCATCCTCCTCTTCCTCCGTTTCCTCCCCCTCCTCCCTTCCCTCTTCTTTCTCATTCTCATCGCGTTCACCATCAGAAATAAACTCCTCTTCCTCTTCTGTCTCCCCCAATCCTTGCTCCTCTCTCACATCTCCCCACCTCTCCTTCCCCACGGGCTGCAGCCCTCCACGTGGCGTCACAGGAGCGCTGCCAGGTGGCGGAAGCGCACTGGTCAATAATGGGCTCGCTGCTGACTCACCGCCCATTCCCAACCGCAAAATCTCAGCCCGCCCGAACCTCGACGGGAACCTCGACGGCCGGTCCGGCGAGGAGGTTCGGTGGCGCCGAAGCTCGCGACTGGTAACCCGACCAACATGGCTCGTTTCAGTTCGCGCGCCTGCTGGCGACGGACACGGCATCCCAGCCAACGCAATCGCAGCAGCAGCAGCCAACCGCGCCGCATCGTCCTCTTTGCATATCTGCTTCCCATGCCCGTGCCCTTGCCTGTCGTCCGCCATCCCCCTTCCGCCATTGACCGTTTGATCCGCCGCTCCGCCGTTCGCACCGCCCGCTTCGTTTGCCGCACCCGCACCCGCAGCACCTGCGCCGGCGCCAGCACCTCCATTAGACGGCGCTGTAGCTGCAGCAGCTGACGTGGCAGCGGACGTACGGGCTATTCCCCCCTCCGCCTCCGCTGCCCCCCGCGGCGATCGCACCGCCGCGCTCCCTCTCTGCCGCAGCCGCTGCTTCGCTAGCGATCTCGAAGGCGACGCGCTCCCGGGGTTCAGCATCGGGTCGCCGCCATCTCCGCCAAGGCGCGCGGATACCTCTCCGCCTGCGAGCCACAGTCCGCGCAGCTGCTGCTGCGCCTCCCGCTCCCGTTCCGCCTCAGCGTGGCAGATGGGGCAGCGGCACCGCGCCTTCGAACTCACCGGCGCCACAATCGCCGCCGCTTCCGCCGCCGCCGCCGCTTCCGCGTGCGGTTTGTGCCCGCCTTTGCCCGCTCCGCCCCGTCTTCCAGCCTTTGCGGCGGGAAGCGCGGACAAGCAGTACGTGCTGCCGGGGTCGAGGCGCGTGGCGGGATGGAGCGGCGCGCAAGGGGCGGCGAGCGCGACGAGGTCGTGGTTGGGAAAGTCTAGTAGCACGTCCGCGACAGTGAGCGGCGCGTTATTACTAGTGGCCGAGGAAGGCGACGAGGCGAGGTGGTCCGAAGTAGACGAGTACATGCGTAGCGACCCGTCCTCTAGAAGAACCATCACGGGGTCTACCGCGTCCGCCGCCGTAGACTCCGCCGCGGATGCCGCCGCCGCGGACGCGGTCCTCCCGATCGTCCCCGCGGCGGTAGGGGAGAGCGCGCTGGGGGAGAGATGGCGGTGCAGCGTGCGGATGCACGCGCGCGGCGGGTGCAGCAGCCCCGCGGCGACTTTCGCGCCCCATCTCGCGGCGACGAACGCGGCGGCGGCGCGTCTGCCGCTCCCGGCAGTGGTTGCCGTCGCGGATGTGGTGGTGCTGTGGCAGCCGTTGCTGCTGGCGACGCTGCTACCGCCGCAACTCGCGGTGTCGAATTTGCTGCCGCTGTCGAACGTGTCAGCAACGCCGCCGCCGTAATGGGTCATTGCGGGTTGACCGGCCGCCGTGGCAGAAGCCATTAAAGCCATGTCGACGTTACTCGTCGGGAATGGCTGCATCTGGAGAATCGCATTGCCGGACATTGCGGCGCGATGGACGGAGCAAAGGAGTGTAAAGCAGAGGAGGAGGGTGGAAACTGGGGAGAGGAGTTCGAGGAGGAAAGGTGGTGTCGGGAGTCGATGGAACAAGCAGGGATGCGGCGTAACTTATTCTCGTTGTTGCGTCGTTGCCCTAACACGCGGACCCGTTGGATGTGCAAGAAACACGCTGGTGTTCCTAACTCATGTTAGCCGCGAGTGGCATGACGCGAGACCAATGCGATGCGATGCGATCTGATGCGGCTGCTCGCCTGCCCTGCCCTGCCTTCGTAATCCCTTGTCCAGTCGATGCGTGGTGTGTCAGTATCAAGGGTTTCGTACTGGTGGTGGGTGTGGTGACAGTGACACTATTCCTGCTGCTCGTATTGATGCTGTGCTGTGCGATGGAGGTGGTGGTTGGCCTTCCTTCCGTTGGACGAAAGTGGTGAAAGAAACCTTGCCTCAACCTCCCTTTGAAAGGAAGGAAGGCGAGGGAGCAGGCAAGCAGGGGGGGCAGTGAGGGAGGGTGAGGTGAGGCGAGGCAAGGCGAGGCAATACAGTCAAGCAGAAATGGCGTGAGATGGTTGGTTGAAACTTGGGGGGGATGAATGCAGAAAGCGCAGGGCAGGGGGGTGGCAAATGCAATGCTGCTGCTGGTTGGACTCAGAAGGAATCGGGGCGGGTGTGAGGGCGAGAGGAATGCATGGCAGGAATTTTGGGTGGTTTTGCAGTAGGCGGATTGGGTGGGCAAATCTGTGTGTAATTGTCGTCAACTTTCATTCGCCGGCCTTGTCGAATGCTGCTACACATTGTTTCTCAACGTTTGGACAATCGGGAGCCCCGTCTACAGTGCGAACGTGTGCTTGGATTTTGCGGGCTGGTGCTTGCAACCGAACCCCAGGTAGGTGGCGGGCAAATGCAGTCCAGGAGAACGATACACAACGGTTTATGAAAGAAACAATGCTAACGCGTACGGTTGATTGCGGCGAATTGTGCCTATATGCTATGTTCTGGGACCGTTTTGGACTCGTTGATGTCAGAATAAGCGGCATGTCAATACATCGAATGTCAGTGTGGCGCGAAACAGGGTGTACCTCAGTCGTATCGTTCGCTGCTGCTTCATGCGACGGTCTGTATCAAACTACCCGTAGCTACGGCAGGGAATGCGACACGATGGGAATACGTGGAACTCTAACCAGGTTACCCTAGCCTCAGTTACAGTACTGCGGTTCAAGCCCTAAACCAAAATTTTGGATGGACGAGTTCGGCTAAAAGTACACCGACAGATGTGCGACTTCCCGAATTCCGATTGGACGGAAACCGTGTTGGCTGCCCAACCACTTCGGTAACTCTGCGCTTCGTCGGCGTCAGTGAGTCAGCGCTGTCTCATCACTCTCTCCACCCCCCCGCCCCACCCGCCCAATCTCCGTAACCCTCCAAAATTGACACGTCGCAACGTAGGATGGACGCACTGCGCGCCGTTTTATCTTGTGTGGGCTGTGCATATTTGCAATTACTTTTTACGTGTCCCGTCTTGTTTGCAAAGAACGGGCATGTTGGTGTAATGAAAGGTGTTGTTTGCTGGCAACGTGTAAACGCTTCTTCGCTTTGTATCTGTATTCCCATTATACCTCCTATACTCAATCAACACATAACCACCCCGTAGGGCAGGTTGCCATGAAGCTAGGGTGAGCCGAGAGCGAACACATCATCGACAGCTTGGGGAAAGATGAAGCACGATCGATGAAGAGGACAAGACAGCCGTTTCATCACGAGGTGATAACAGTGGTGATAACGAGGCCGCCCAATTCATACCACAGCAAATAACGTCGGTAACGGGCACCACCATGCCCAGACAGACAGTGTTACAAACTATTGGTCTGTGGGGCTTATAAGGTGTAAACGAGTAAGTGAATAACTGAATAAAGAGTGCTATATTCATTGACTCACTAATGTGTTTCCGGCAATTTGAGAACAAACGCCTCAAGGCTTTGGAGAAACGAAACCAATTATGTGCCATAAAATGTAAAACCGGGTACGGTGTCTGTTGTACAGGCGCTACAATTTCAAAATATTAAATATTTTAAGCCCATATATTTTAGAGTGTGGTTCCGCTCAATGCCCGGACGCGTCGGAGTATTATCAAGGACAACCCTGGCCTGGTCTGTACTGGCCTGGCTTGGTTCTTGGTGTGGACTGGACTTACCGTACCTTGTATTGTAGTGTTTGTCATTGTTTGGTGTAAGGGAAATTCCTTTTCCTTACTTCACGCCCCTGCACAACGCGTACACGGCGGTTCCCGCCAATGGCACCCAATAGTGAAACGTTACCCGTTCAAGACACTCGCCTCGACCATTGCTCCCGCCACTGTATACCTCGCGACCCAACCTAACGGTTCGGTTGGTAACCCGCGCTCCGGTCCTCCGCCTCGACAATTCCCAACCTCGGCGCTAGGCCCGTAGCGCACCCCATTTTTTCACGTTACTGTCACCACGCTAGCTTTGCTACGTATTGTTCGCTCATACCTTCGCTCATTGTACCGTTTTTGCTTCGATAGTGCAATTCTCGCTCGCTCGCTCGATTGCACTCGTAACACTTGGTATTCAGAGCCTACGATCTCTTCTCGGATCGCACCCACACCTTCGCTTCCCCACTATCTCAAAATTTTGGAGGGGGTAGACGTCTCTCAGCGCCCAAGCACCGCCGCTCGAGTGCTTTCTCGAAAGCACGCACGGCCACGACTGAGGCTCTCGCTGAGCTTGCCTGACACCCCCGCCATGGCCGAAATTAATCTCGCGGCATTGACGCAGGAACGCCTCGACCATCTCATGCGCCAACTCGAGGAATCGGCACTCGAAATCGCGACACTCACGGCGGAACGCGACCCGACAGCAATCAACAGCGAATGCACCCGCCAATGCACCTGTGCAATTGGATGAGCTGATTGTCATCTCGTCCGGCACACCTTCACACCACGACAGCGTGGGACAGCGCTCAGGCGTAGCCAGTGATGGCGCCGCCCAATCGATGCCTGGCATGGAGAGGAACAGGGCCGCACCAATTGTGAATGCACCTCGCGAAGCTCGTCGTCACGTCGAATTTGCAGCGACGATCGGCAACGAGGACATTGGCGCACCAATGCCGCTCAAACCGCAGCGCCCACCCTGCTTCGTTCCTAGCCAACGCGGAGGTCCGACGGTTCAATCGTGGGTCTTCATGATGAACGTATTTTTCGACGCTAACTACGTCACGTCGGATGCAACGAAGATACGATACGCTGTTTCGCTGCTGCGGGGCCCCGCCATGGACTGGTGGCGAGTCATCGTGACGTCGCCACGCGCCTACGAGCCGCCGTCGCAAGAGGAAGGGTCCACGGGGCCAGAAGTCACCTGGAGTTCGTTATGCGAAAGCCCCCAGCACAGCACGTGGGACGCGTGGTGCGCAGGGCTTCGGGCGCGCTTCCAGCCGATCGCGGCTTGTATTTCGGTGCGCCAGAGACTGCGCACTTTGTCAAACTTATATGCTGCTTATTGTGTAGGCTATAGTGGGGTAGCCCATATGGGGTACAACGAATTAGGGTTTGCTACTTGTACCCACCAGCTTCCTAGTTCATTTGTTCTCGTTTATTCTGCTGACATGGTTTCAGAGCAGGTCCTAGCCTAGGACCGTTTTTTTAGGGCCCACCGAGTAGCGCTACCCCACCCGTCGCGCCGCCGTGATTGCGCCGCCCTGCCCTGCCCTGCCCTGCGTCGCGCTGCCTGCGCACGCCCTGCCCTGCCCGCGCACCGCCCGCTACAGCGCGCTCTGCTTTGCCAGCGCGCCGCCCGCTGCAGCGCGCCCTGCTTGCCCGCGCGCCGTTGCGCCGCCTCGCCCGCGCGCCCTGCTGACCCGCGCGCCGCCTGCCGCAGCGCGCCCTGCCCTGCCCGCGCGCCGCGCCGCCGTGTCGCCCTGCCCGCGCGCCGCGCCGCCGCGTTGCCCTGCCCGCGCGCCGCCCGCCGATGTGCGCCCTGCCATGCCCGCGCGCCGCCTTCCGCCGCGCGCCCTGCTCTGCCCGCGCGCCGCCCGCCGCAGCGCGCCCTACCCTGCCCGCGCGCCGCCCGCCGCCGAGCGCCCTGCCCTGCCCGCGCACTGCGCCGCCGCCCGCTCTGCCCTGCCCGCGCGCCGCGCCGCCGCGCGCTCTGCCCTGCCCGCGTGCCGCGCCGCCGCGCGCCCTGCCTTGCCCGCGCGCGGCGCCGCCGCGCGCCCTGCCCTGCCGCCGTGCCGCGCCGCCGCGCCGCCCTTCCCTGCCCGCGCGCCACTCTGCCGCGCGCCCTGCCCTGCCGCCCGCCGCTCGCTGCTGCGCCGCCCTCTCCTGCTGCCCGCGCGCCGCTCGCCGCTGCGTCGCCCTGCGCCGCCCTGCCTTGCCTTGCCTGAGTGCTGCCCTGCTGCTAGCGCGCTCGTCTGCCTAGCCCTGCCTGCGTGCTGCTCTGCTGCTAGCCCGCCCGACTGCTCTGCCCACTATGGCTACGCTCAGCGTCCTCACTTTCGATCCGGAGGGCCGCCCGATAGAGTTCGATGCGTGGCTCGACGACTTACAGCTGTACTTACTGAGCGATTCCAAGGACGGAGTTTCATTGTTTGACCTCACGTCTAGCGCCTCTCTCGCTCCTGCCGCCACAGCTGACAGTGCGACTCGCTCACAGTGGCTTACTCGTGACGCTGCTGCTCGCCTAGCCGTTCGCAACCACCCGACGTTAGCCGAACGCGCTCACTTCGGATAGCATAAGACTGCGAAAGCACTGTACGACGCTGTAGTCGCTCGTTACTCCTCCCCGGCCACTGCTGCTCTAGGCCGCCTTCTCATGCCCTACCTGTTCCCAGAGCTGTCCGCCTTTGCCACAGTAGCCGATCTCGTCACTCACCTTCGCACT